GGCTGCTGCTTCGGGGGGCCTGCCGGCAGACGGAGCCTGTCCCGCGGTAGCGTAGGTGCTCTAGCGAGAGGGGGTGCAAGGGTTAAATCAGTTGGTACCGGTATCCCAGGCGGTGGTTTTTTCCCAGGAAAGCTTACGCTGCCTGCTGCAGACTTTTAGCAGCAAGGTTTGGGGAGGCAGAGAGTTTGCGGATAAAGCTCGCAGCGGTGGCACGCCGCTGGTTGTGAAGGACGAGGGTCCGGCCTTGTTCTCATCGGCTGAGCTATTTAAGCCTTAGGCTACGTGCCTGGTTCAGCCTTGTTCTCATCGGCTGAGCTATTTAAGCCTTATGCTACGTGCCTGGTGCGATCGTGACACCACGAAAAGGAAGACTTCAGCGAGCCGGCGTTCACGATGAGTGCACAGGGGTCACACACGTGGTGTTACAGAAAAGGGCCCAAGTTGCGTCTCGCTTATTCCACTGAAAATCGGAGCTAAGCTTAGGTGGGGCATGAGGAGTCGGAGTAGTATTTGGAGAGGGGAATCGGGCCTGTCCTGGGGAGCGTCCAGTTGCGTTGGTGGTCTGAAGGAGTAAGGGTTGACTCAAGCCTATGGAAATACGTGTGCATTCAGCTATCCTGAGAGACAGCAGCTGCCTGGATGCCTGGAGTCCTTCTGAAAAGCTTGGGTTTGAAATCAAGGATGGCTGCACAGCCACCAACACTGCAGCCAGCCCAGCCCCTGCGCACCGCGGCGCGGGAGACAAAGCCAAGCCTGAAATTCATGGAGTTAGCTCACGGGCATCACTGTAAGGGGCCGTGACAGCCCTCCTCCTGCAGCCTCCAGACACAAATCGGACCTTCCTGAGAATGACTGCGACACACAACAGTCATCTGAGAGATGAACTGTGACTGCAGAGGATTCCTCAGGACACAGGCAGGATTTTTAAGTGGCTTGTTTTTCCCTCATGTCTGCAACTTGCTCATTTTCTATATTGCAGGGTCTATGGCGGGGGGGTGAGCGTGTATTTGGAAGCACACTGTATTTGTGTTTAGATTTACCTTTCTTTTAACTTAATGTTGAAAAGGTATTTTTCATTTTGCTGCTTTTGTTCACTGAATAAAGTATTAAACTTTAATTAGTTTTCACTTTTTCTTGTTTAGGCCCTAATTAAAAAGGTACTGAAATCAGCATGGTCCCTCACTTTGCGTTCAAATGAGTTTTAAATTAAACTCATAATAAATTAAGGCCTGATGTTACAAACATTTAAGAGCACAAGGCACTTCACATGCAAGGGTGCTCATTAGCTTTGATCAGGCCTCTAGCAGACCTCATTTTGTGCATTCAAACCATGCTTACTTAAAAAACATTCCTTGAAAAATTCACCATTGCTCCAACTTTTAGTTCAGTCCATTATTTTCATCTGCAAGGGTTACAAATTAGCAATTTTTAAATTAGCTGCAGGTCTGGTGAAGTTCTCTGTACTTCAACCATTTTGTTTTGCTGGGAGGTTTTGACTCTGCTTCCAGCTTTGACTGGCTTGTGATGTGATGTCTCTAACTTACTGAATTCCTCCATCTTATGAACTCCCATCTTAGAAGGTACGGAAAATCACACGTCACTACCTCGCAGGGACTTCTTAGCAGGGCAGATAAAAATGGACGATTCAGTGAAATATAAAAAAAAAAAATAAATACATGAAGTACAGCTTAATGCTATCCCCAGTGTGCATGCTGCTGTTCCGAGATTGGTTTTTTCCCAATTTAAGTTCAGTTCTAAGGTGAAGCTGTACATGAGAAAAGAACGGGAGCAGCTTCCCACTGCCACTTGAGTTGGAAGCCTAGCGTCGCTGACTTTAGCGGCAGCTACAGCCTGCCTTTGTGCCTGGACTTCCCCGAGCGCTGTCGGAACCGCAGGAGCCGAGGTACGTTGGCCCACCCAGAGCTCTCGGCTGCCACGGCCAGGCTACCTGGTGCCAGGCTACCTGGTGCCGCAGCCCAAGGCAGGTGGGTCGGATCGTCTCCATGCCCGGCCCGGCGGCGGGCACGCCCGGCCCGGCTCGCCCCTCAGGGCTCAGCCAGGTTGCCCCAGTTCCGCTCCTGTCCGTGTGCTCACTGGCTGGCTGCGCATCTGCAAATGTAGAGCTGCACTTTAGTGCTGTCTGAATCACACCCTTGCCCTCTCTGGGCAAAACCAGATGCTTTGTAAAGCAAGAGGCACCATGAGGCTGCCAAAAAGCATATTTGTGCGTATTCAGAACATGTTGTCTAAACTGGGCTTCTTCCATGTCAGCTTCTGTACAGCTTGGTCCAGGCTGGCACACCAGTCAGACCAGTGATGAACAGCTCTGCTATTTGTGAACGTGACGCACGCGTTCAGCAATACCAGCTGGAAGGAAGTATTTAGTCTGCATAGAACTTAATCACTGTGACCGCAGGAACACGATGACTTGTTTAATTTATGGCAGGGCTGATACCCTTGCCTTGTTTTGTTGTGTTATCCAATGATGTTTTATCCTCTCATGGGAACCCTAGGAGAAACAGTGGTGGTTTTAAATCCAAATGTGTCAGATGCGTCGTTCTGAACAGAACACTGGTCTGGTTTGCACTGGCTTGAGCCCTCCTCTTGAGCAGGTAGAGGAGCAAGTCTCATGTTAAGTCACTGCAGAATCCATTTAGCGCAATGCCCTTGCTGAGACTTCCACTTGGAGCGCTTTCCGAGGAGGAGGCCCAAAGCTTCATAAGGGTAACGAGAACCTGGAACAGCTTGGCCTGGAAATGTCTTTCTAACCCCCAAATCTCTTTGTAAGCTACCTTATGCTCTAGAAAACGAAACCACAATTCATCTGACGCTGATGGAATAGCCATAAAGTGGTTACGACTAACGGCCCTTTGTCTGCAAACACTGACCCTACGCTTATCTAAGAGAACAAAAAGTCCCATGAGCTATCCCGCAGGAGGAAATCCAGTGCCGCTCTGAAGGCGTGAAGTTCTCAGCATCCACAGGTACAGACCCAACGGCCTGCTCCTCTCCCGCTCCTCAGCTGACACGGCTGGAATGTCCGTATCAGCCTATGTGATTTTTCTGTATGGAAAGCAGGAGAGAGGAAGCAAACAGCCCGAGTCCTCCTGTAGGTGTCTAAGCAACTCAACCTTCAAACTGGCACGTCACCAGTATCTGAAGATTGCTGTTGTCAGCTTGCAGGGAAGGGTGTTCACCCTCTATTAAGGTTTTTATCCTTCCTGCATTGCGTAAGGGGCTCACAAGTCAGGACGCCCAGTCGCAGGCACTGTTAGGAGCTGGGTTCCACGCGACGGCATGGGTCGGGTGCCAGGGAGCAGCCCAGGTTTATGTGACAGAGGAAGACGAGTCAGGTCAGGGAGCCTGTGAAAGTCTGTGAGCGTCTCGCGTACCTAACTGTACCCTGGCGAGCCTGAAAAAACCGAGGCTTTCCAGGACACCTAACGGGCAACACGCTGCAAGGCTTCGCTATTTTTTTCTTTTTTTTAACTCCTTAGAAGGACTGAGATACATTAACTAAAATCAAGGCATCTAAAGTAATATGAATTAAGAAATGAGAGGGCAATAAGCATCGAGATAGCCGGTTGATTTTATGAGATGTGGACATTTCAGTTCAGAACCATAAGCAACATAGGATCTTTGTAAGCAGAATGATTTGAAATTGCCCAAGCTATAAACGAGACAGTGCCATCATATCTATGATTCTGTGATTAAAACCTAGACCTGAGAACTGTAAACAGCTTTCCATCCTCACTACAAAGAATTAGGGGGGATTTCAAGAATCGAGGAGACTGAGAGACAGTATTATTTACCTATCACAGGGATCTGTATGTGCCACCTTTAATTGCTCAACGTGATGAACACAAGTCGTCCGCATTCAGCGCACCCACTTTGCTATTACTGCACGAAACAGTAATTTAACCCCCATGTACAGAAGGCAGAGCCTTTTGCCTCCAGGTGCGCAGACTGCGCGCGTAGTGCAGACGTACAGAGCAAGGGCAGTCAGATGACTCTTGCCTCCTTGCCATACATGTTGCACACATTTACCCTTTTCCTCTCCTCACGCTGTCCTAACAGTTTTTGGGAACATGACCATGCAACCCAGCCAGTATCACTTTTCTGCTAAGTGGCACACTGCAACCTCCATGCCCCTGACTGGCTGTCAGCATCAATATGGTGCAGCAAACTTTGAGGAAAACTTGCATTAACCACATGTATATGGGAGTTCTGTTGTTAAAGTGGTTTATTCTAGCTCACATTTTGTCTCATTTTAAAACTCCATAGAGCAGGAGCTATGTCTTACGTTCCTGGGATGCTTGGCACAGGACGCTGGGCGCACGGGGGGTCCTTGGCTGCAGTTACCATACAGCATTTGCGACTGCCTGTGTGTCCCAGGTCACTGCTGAGCGGGCAAAACACTAGAACCCAGACTAAGCCGACTCTTCCCTTGGGAGAGGTGCAGGAGGGATGGAGCCCCCAGCAGCAGGCTCCTTCGCCAGATGCTCCCTGGAGCCTTGCTGGCTCTGTACATCAACGTCTGCTTTAAGCGAGATCGGCTGCCCTTCACAGAGACCAGTTATCCTTTCCAGAGCAACCTCCTGGCACCAGAACTGTTTACACGGAAAACAGATTAAAGCTAAAATCCAGCCACCATTATAATTTCAAAACCCAGTAGGACTCTAGACATGTGTTTTACTGCCTTATTACTGCTGTAATAAAAAATACAGGGTATTCACCCAGAACATCCATGTTTGTTTTAACACGGATTCATCGTAAAATCAACAGGCTTTAAGCTAACATGAAATGCCTCATAGAAGATACTGCATTGCTTTTAGAGCCCAGGCTCTGTTCTGTCAAGGAATACAATCAGCCCACATAAAAATAAACGCCAAGGTTTCAATTATGAATTTCTGCAATACTGATTTTTTAGTATGACACTCGGTAGCATGTATCACCTTCCAAATGGAATTCTTGTGCAGAAGGCTATTCCCGGTATCAGAGAGATACTACGTGGCATTCTCCCATGAACCATTCCTGCATAAAAACGCTATCATTTTGAACTGTACAAGCAGTTAAAAGTTCTCGTTGAGAACATAGCATACCTTGGGTAAAAGCGGCAAGTTCGGACCTTAGGCCATTGCCAGTGACGGGCCAGTACGCACGTTCTACACGGCAAACAGAACAGGTAAAACAGCCAAGTAATTCCCCATCTGGCTGGACAGAACAATCACGGGTGTATTTGTTTCTGTGGACAGGTTCACTGGTTGATACGCCCTATAAAATAGGTACAAGTTGCTTTAACAAGTGTCGTGTGCTCGGATCAACTTCATTTTTTCCCCCTACCACTGACTTATGTTTCAAAGCTCCTGCCGAAACACTGCAGTATTATTGTGTAATCATTGCAAAGCCAGAAGCTAGCATTTTCTGCTAACTAGGTGGTTATATCCATTGCAACAAAGGATTTAATACATAGTGGAAGCTTTATATTTACAATTCACTGGCATAGATATTTACTGTTTAAAGGGTAAAAAAAGATAACCATACAAGTAAAAATAAAGTCTGCATCTGAAATTACAATTTTACCAGCAAGCATGGAAAAGAACTGTTTGTAAATCACTGTGTCCACCAGTTTTGTAGTGTTTTAATTACCATCAACCTCATTAGAGCGAACACGGGCGAGTATTTACCAAGTGACTTGCCTGAAGTCACGGTGAGCCAGTGGCCGAAATACGACCGCAGTCCTACTCTCCTGCTGCCCACTCCCCGCGTCCTCGCCACTGATGCAGCAGGAACTGGGGCTCCAGGCCGCAGATCTTCACCGGGTGCCAGCTACAGTAAGTGACAGCAGCTGAAGCGCGCAAGGGAGACGGAGACCCCCACGGGCGGTGACTGAAGTTCACGAAGGGCTGTCGTCATTTTGGTGCGGCAACACTCGCGCTGCCCAGCAGGACGTTACCCGGTGCGACGGGCTGACCCGTGAGTCACGGCGAGTGCCGCTCTCCGAAGCCGGGGACACCAATGCCCTCGTTCGTTCCTGCAGGCTGTGGCTGAATTCCTGTCCCACGACCCGGGCCCCTCTCTCTGGCAGCAAGAGAGATCACCACAATTAGAATCAGTTCAGATTCGTTGTTTCTAGAATATCTGTGACGCTGGTATCAGGGCTACAGCCCCATTTGAAAAGGTGTATCGATCACGAATAACCGGCAGGGATTATCTTTTAGCTCAAATACTGAAATCCTGCATTTTAAACTATCACCAGGTTTTTTCTTTCCCACTCTACCACTAGGTGTTCTACAGACAACAGTTCAGTTGCAGCTATGTTACTATATGGCTCTCATCGATTCACATCTATAAAACAAGGGTTTATTTGTAATAAAGAGAAAATTTCTGAATATTTTCTAAATTAAAATTCCAGGTTACAGGAACAACCTACCTTTAATAATTCTTTGCGTATCTCTTAAGTTCAATTAAATCACGCTGCAGCAATACATTTCAAGCGTGCTAATTCTGACAATGACTTCTGCAAGAGATTTTATTCTGAAATAAACCCCTCACTATTTGAAAAAATAAATCTCGGTGGAAATCTAGGGGAAAAAAACCTAACAGCTAATTTTCAGAAGTGAGGCAAAATTAAAACTGCTAAAACTCTTTGTCTCCCCCTTCGTTCCTAAGGGAGACGTTTTGTCAGCTCCCAAGGACCGTGCTCTTGTTTCCTTGGCTGGCTGAAGCAAGCAGTGCAGATTTCGTGGACAGAGAACTTTGAAGTTTAGTGTTTGTTTTGCTACAGATTCAGTGTCCAGAAACACAGCGATGGCACATAGAAAGAAAAAAAAAAAACGCCAAGCCACAGTGTCTCTTCAGGACCGAGTGCACGTTTCTAGATGTAGATTCAATTTTTACACAAAACAAGTCACTAAACTTCCCTGCAGCGAAACCCATTCTGACTGACTGGGTTACTGCCTCCTAAACGCGATCTGCAGGTTGCGCTCTGTCAGAGATCAGAGGATACATAAGCAGCTGCTTAAAATCCTCTAATGCATAAACATGAGCCACCAAGGAAAGAACAAAATGGAGAAAAATGAAACCAAATGTTCCAAGTTAAGCTTCGTTTTTATTTGGCAGTAAATAAAAGTCACTGTGGCAATATTCTACAAGATGATCACCGGAGTGTAATTTTTAGGTGGCCATTGGATTACAAGGAAAATTTAAAAGTATTACTGTGTGTTTTTAATACACAGACCTTCCACAGCCATTACTTTTTTATAATTTGCGTCTGCACAGCAGGCAAGGCTGCACTGCTACAGAATGAGAGCAGAGAACTCCCCATGACACTGTACATTGATTAGGAGAGGAGATTTCAGGTGTGTCAGGATCCATTTGCACAGACGTACCTCCAAGTTTGGGATCACTGCAGTACCCGTGGTGTTCTTTTCTGCAGTATAAACCACACTATCATCTTAAATTAGTGTATCAAAAGTTCATACGACAAGCAGAACATCACCTTAAGTAAAAGGTAAAAATATTTTGCAGGTTTGCAGCAATTAAAACTTTTTTGTTTGTTTCCCTTTTCCTGTTTCTCGGAGATGTTTTTTAAACAAGTTAAATTTATGGCAAGTGATCAGTGTGCTGCCTCTGACAAGTATTTTCTTTGCATATCAGAAAACCCACCAGTTTTCCCTTCTGCAACACTGCCGACACAAAAACAATCTGACTGTTATTGTTAGTCATATTTCGTGTTGTTATAAAGACTTGGGTGTACTTCCTTCCAGCCAATAAGTAATATATTAGAAAGTGAACAACATGGGAAAAGTCATGGGGATTCTGAAGGCAGTATTTTATTTTGGCACACTTACTAGTATTAAACAAGCTTATCTTTCTGTGCTACTACTTCATGTTTAAAGATCAAATTGTATTTTTGGAAAGCTTTGATCAGTATAGTAAATGCCAATGTGTATTTTAAAAATGCTCTGTGTATCAGATATTTCAAAATATATCAAATTACTTTTTGAAATGCAAATTTTCACTATTCATTGAGGTAAATGGGAAAAGAAGATGCACCGAAAATGACTAAGAGGCATCCTGGGCTAAAGAACAATCCCCAATTCCCTTACTCAGGCAAAAGCATAAGCCACAAACAGGAATTTTGTCAGAGACATTAATTCATAAAGCAATTGTTACCTTTCAGATTCCCTTCAAACCAACGCTCTCACCTCCCAGGGAAAGAAAAGCAGCCGTGAATGAAGAGGCAGGCAAGAGAACCCTTGCAGTCCGTAACGTACAGTCCTTACCAACCTCTCCCATCCTTTACAAGTTCCACATCTTCTTCCAGTCTAACGCCTTTTCACAGGCAAACATAACCACTGAACAACAATCACACGGGCCCACGAGTTATATATACACAATTACAGTATAGTGATACCCAAATTTCAGTAAAGTCAGCATCATTTACAGTCCAACACTGCAGGAAGTGCAGAGGAACCCAGTCTATGATACATAGCAGTTTGCTGAAAATACGAAGAAATCTTCTCCTGAGAGAAAATCAGCAAAGTAGAAAAAATAAAATGCACCTTCCTTGAATTTTATTTTGACTCAGCCTCTTCATCCATGAACTCAACTAGCGGAGCGTGTCTATCGGCCTGGGCACCTTCTTGGAAATTAACCTTTGTTATCACTCCTGCCCTTGGAGCCCGTATGGTGTGCTGCACAGAAACAGAGCAGTGGTGAACCGGCAGAGTACTCGTTTCCTTCTCTCCCCCCCACAAATGCTGATAATACTCTTTGGTGTAATTACAACAGAACACACTTAATTACTTCCTCTGACAAATGTATATTTATTTTAAACCTTCTCCGAAATTATTATCCTAGACCTTTTTCAAGTTTTATTTTCTCATCAATATTTATTTTGAGAAATATACTGTGGACAAAAATACCATCTACGGTTATATTTTTAATGTTATTTTACTTCACTAATGCTTTTTGTTATTATAATAAATACCAGGTGGATATAATACAGTTTTAGTCCAAAACATTAATCACACAGCAGATTTGTTCCCTGAAGAGGAATCTGCAGATTCACTAAATATTTTTGTTTGCTGGCCAGGAGGGGTCTTTATCGCACAGATATGTGGCAAAATGCAAATGAAGTAGAAATACAGCCACCAGTGACAGCAAAGGGATAGCATGTTTACATACCGATCCCCAAATTGCTCTGCTTGCATTGTGCCAGGTTAGTTTTCCCTTGAAGTTTTGTTTCTTGGTAATTTTCTACGTAGGGTTAGTCTAGTATCCAAACATTTAATGTCAGATATTAAATCCTACCATCTAAGCCAGGATTCATTTAAATACCAATTTGCTTTTTAAATTTTACATTTTATATTTCAATAAAACTGAAAAAAAAAAAAAGAACTCTGGTAACATCAGTCTGAGGTATCAGCTGGAGAGAAACACATTAAACATCCAACCACAAATAATTCTGGGGGTAATTTTTTTAGTGCACAGATGTTTATTTCATGTAATTTTAGTGTAATTTACAAAAGGACATGATAAGGGAAAGGCAAATTTTCTCAACAACATTAATTCTGCTACCACAAACTGAAGTTTAAAGTCAACTGATAGGCACAGCAAACCAGTTCAGGCTGCAAAAACTGTAAAGCAAGCAATGTGAGCCATGGCCAAGCAATGTGATGAGACAGAATGGCCAAAATGCCAGTCCACTGAATGCCACCTGGACAACTACAAAAAACCTTTAGTGTCCTCTTGGTAAAATGTCATGTAAATCATACAAAATTATAAACAAAAAAATGCCGGGCATATTTACAAAGTCATTGCTAGCCAAATTTCTGCATGAAGTAACTGCAGACATTACAGATGCTTACATCGCAGGCAGCGAGCACAAGGGGTACCTAAACAGTTTTCTGTTAGAAAAGTGACAGAATTATTGATTTCGTGGGAGGGGAGAGCAGGACTGACAAAGCTAACCAAATGCATGTCAAAACATCCGCAGAATAGCATGGATTATACAATCATCATTTGTTAAAAAATAACAGCAAGTATAATCCTCTCAAATCTAATCAGACACAACACTTGCTTTGCAGCACTAAAGTGGTACTGACATCTGCAAGCTACAACCTGCACCCTACTTCAATAATGCACCACAAATAATTAAATGATGACCAGTTTTATTTTCCCAGTAATGAAAACATTTCCTGTGTCACTCACCTCCATTTTCATAGCTATCATAACCATCAGAGGGTCTCCAATCTGAACCTTATCCCCTGCTTTCACAAACACCTACAATTCAAGAGAAAATTGGGAAAAAATCATGCACATTAAAAACCATCAGCTGGATCTTGGCTAGCACAATGCGCTGAGTGAGCGAGTTTTTATGGAACAGCCTCATGACACCTTCAGTATTGTTGAACTGGGTCTTTGAGTTCTTTAGATAATACTGAAGGGAGTCGGAGGCTACAGAAAGAGGTTCAGTAGCAGCTAACAGGCTGGCCAGAAGCCACATACATATCGAAGAAGAAACCATAGCAGAGACAGTACATACTCTACCCTTTCGGGGCTCAAGAGCTTCTGTTTTGAGAAGAATGTCTTCCTGGAGCCAGTCACTAAAGTTGTTTTTAAAACAAAATCCAGAAGGAAGATTGCAGGAGCTACCCAGCTTTTCTGCAGTAACTTTGACATAGCATTCACTCAGTACGCAAGAGATCCACGTGCAGTGCACTCCACCCTGTGAAAGGCTTCATGCCTTTTTATTGCTAGCAGAACCCTGTAGCTACTGAGCTCTCTTGGAAATCTCTTGTCTATTGAAACTTTTCCACTGTACAGAAAAATAGGCAAGACTTGCTGAGCTAAAGAAACAGAAGCAGCAAAACATGCAGCTTAACAAAAAAGGCATTTCTGAGTATTTCTTTCTTTGCAAGTGCATCTGGCATCTCGTTCTCTTGGTTAGATGAAATGGATCAAACAGCCACTAACACTTCATGGAACTTGACTTAGAACGTAATTAAGATAAAGAAAAAATTATTCAAGCAGAAGGATTAGTTAAATATTCAGATCTTCCAGAGCTCTAAAAAAGAAGACTAGAAGCCTGAAACACTCTCGTGTGGCTGCTGAGAAGTCAGAGTAAACAGGGCTTTTTCCAGCTGGGAGAAGCCACGCAGCACTGGCATTTGCGGCGCTCATCCCTTCCTGGCCGTACAGAAGCAAGCGCCGTGTCTGGAAGAGCGAACTTGGATATATATTGGAGAATTCATTGCCTACCCCGTTACTATAATTACCTTTTCGACTGTGCCCGTCATGGGTGCGACAGCACCACTCTGCATTCCCACTGAACTTACTGCAGATAAGTACTTGGGTACAGGAAGGCCAATCTGAGCGCTACCTTCCTACAGAAATAAAATCAATGACATATGAGTTAATTGACGTAAAATAACACCACTAATAGGCCTGCTGACAGACAAGGAAAGAACAGAACCAGCTTCAGTCACACCAGTCAGTGTTCAAGGTGGCAGCCTACTGGGGCCAGGGCAGCAGAGAGCCTGCGGGCATGCCCACCGCTTTGCCCATGGCCGTAAAGCCGCACCTCGCCGCTGCCAAGGACCAGCACGGAAGGAGCTGCCCCCGTCAGAGAGGCTCCACACCGGGCTCTGTCCCAAACCCACGCCTTCCCCCTTCACGCAGCAACGGCACAGAGGTTTGCACAAGGGGTAGGCAGGTTGCTGCCACAAGCAAGGCAGACGTTGGCAGCTCCATCGCCAAGCACTGCCGATGGGAGCGTTTCACAATCCACAGTGAAATGGATTCAGCCCCAAGCTTCGCAAAAAAACGCTCACCGTCATCCAAACTCCCCTCGTTCCTCTCAGGCTCGTTACCCAGAGCTTCCCAAAGACTCGTTCTCCCTCACATCCCAAAACTCCTGTGATTCCTTCCAGATTCCCCACTCCAGACCCCACAGGAAAACTGAGCTGTGCCACTCCAGCGTGAGCTCGTTTGTCCTCATCACCGCAGCAGCAAACTTCTCACGGCATTCTGCTGAAAGTCTTAAGGGGCTCAGAGCTAGAGGTTAATTACTGAAACTAAGAATTTAATTATTTGATTACATTTTTACTGAGTTACTTTAATGCCCTATAATCTTTTTAACTGCAAAGAAAAAATTACCAGCCTAAGCATGCAAATGAGGGTACCTCCTCCTTCAAACGCCATTATTCATGCAACGCAGATGATGCCATGGTAACTCCCAATTCCAATTTTTTAGTATTAGCTGAAGCGGCCCTTCCTCAGACCAATATAGATTTCTTTCTTATCATTTAATATTAAAAATTAAACACAGTGAAATAAAAATACCAGTTACAAGCACTTTCAAATAACCAGTCTGAAGTAATTGCTACTGTTCTATAGCAAACTTAGATACTTGAACATCCCAGTGTTTTGTGTTCCCCCCTCCCAAACCATCATTTGCAACTCCAAGTCACCTAACTGTATTTTAGGTTTCCAAAAGTAATTGTTTTCTCACTCACTGTCCATAAGCAATTAACTTCTAATTACAGCTGTAAATCCAACAAGTATCAAAACATCATGGGCCAATGTAAGAACTTGAAATTATGATTCTCTTTCACGTTCTCTTGCAGTTTATACTGTTCATTTACACGGATAAAAATCTGAAATTTTATACTCATGATAATAAAGAAATTAACTTTACCGGAAAAAAGAGGTAAATGGTGTTGTCCAAAATGACCAATCTGGACTTATACACTGTTCCATTTACTGAAGACCTCAAGTAAAATGAATCACCTTCACTGAAGATCTCTCCAGAAACCAGGAACTTTTTATCTTCAATCTGAAAGTTAAATGTTTTTATATGGACAAAGCCTAACCCTTCATGAACTCTAATACAACAAACCAAAAGTTGGCATTTGTAGTATTCACTCATAACCCGTGATTCTTTATAAATAACTGTGGAATTAAAAAAAAAAAAAAAAATCTTTTAAAATCTTATGTATCCTTTATTTTTCAATTAACAGAATGTATTCTGTATCCAGTGCAATCAGCTCAGATTAGCAAATACGTTCTCCGAGGACAATTTTTATCACAAACTATGCAATAGTACTCAGCAAAACACAAAGTTATACCATTTCCCAAGAAAAACAAAAACCCAGAATGTTCTGTTTACTGATGCTACCAGAATCCAATATTTTTAATTTGTCCTAGCATCTTGACTTTCTTCAAACTGAAAAATCCATACTATTCACCTCACATCCCCAGCTTCCACAATGCTTTCCAAAAGTCAGGTGACTTTCTCAGTGTTGGAAGCTTGTAATACAAAAATACAATATAATCAAGTAAACCTTTAAAGGAGCAGAGCGGGGCAGTAATGGAGGCAGTGGCAATTAGACACCAAAAGTGCAAAAGACCAAAAAGAAGGGTCATTTATTTGTAGGAAACCCTTTCATCTATGTCAATGGAAACTGCACCGCTGGCACAACTTCATAGAATCATAGAATCATTTAGGTTGGAAAAGCCCTTTAAGATCATCAAGTCCAACCGTTACCCTAACCCTGTCATCCCACCACTAAACCCTGTCCCTAAGCATAACTAACTTCAGAATATAAGGACAGTAAGAATATGAACGTAAGTGCATTACGTGTTACCAATCTTTTTAGTTGGAAGCCTACCATCAGTGAACAAAGAATCCAAGACTTGCCAGTCTTCAGGATGTTACTAGCTGAGATAAAATTCAGTCTTCATTTATACAAGTCGCATGCTATTTTCCCACTGCATGAAGACCTTGTAACATGTATTGAAAGGATACGGCTGATCTGATACTGATCCCCGAGAAAAAATCCTTTGCTTGATCAGTACCCTGAGCAGGGTGCAAATGAGGGGAACCCCCTGTGCAGCACTGTGAGTGCGTGCCAGTTCCATGGCCCAGCAACCTGCCCCGGTTGATTGGCTTCAGGACAGGCTTTGTCGCACTCCAGGGGCGCTCTCCTCCTCATGATCACCTCCCGATTCTGTTTCTCCATCTCTTCTCTCCGGCTTCTCTACATTTCCACCTCAACCCCCATTCTCCCTCCGTTCTCCTCAGCTGCACTTCCCCTCCCCAAAAGGCCCCACTCCACGTTCCTACCATCCTCCTTTTATTTTTGTTGACATTACTTACATGAGATAAGCCTGAAGCGTAAAAGCTCTCCTGCATTATGTATGAAATCAATACACCCAGAATAACCAGGGTATTACTTAAGGAATGCGGGTCA